GCTCAAGCAGTTAGTCGCTGGCTTCCCACCGCGGCGGCCCGGGTTCCATCCCGGGTCTGGTCAAGTGGGATTTGTGGTGGACAAAGTGGCGCTGGGGCAGGTTTTCTCCGAGTACTTCNTTTCTCCTGCCAATCTTCATTCCACCAATTGCTCCACAATCACCCTCACCTATCATCTGGGGCTGGTACAATAGGCCAGAAGTGGCCGGAGTACAAGGGACTTGGTCCCACCCCACTAGCAATAAAAAAAATACAACACATCTTAATGCGGTTAGAAGACAAGTAAGGCGAAAATATTTTAATTAAGTTTACTGCACTTGTTTCTAGAAAACCGAGATTAACGGAAGTATAAATAGAATGATCAAGTCAAGGAGGACGAGGTGGGCAGGGAATGTAGCACGAATGGGGGAGACAAGGAATACATATAGGATATTGGTGAGAAAGCCGGAACAAAAGAGACCCCTGGGAGGATGAAGGCGTAGGTGGATGGACAATATTAAAATGGATCTTAGAGAGATAGGATGGGATGATATGGATTGGATTGATCAGGCTCAGGATAAGGACCAGTGTAGGGCTCTTGTGAACACTAATGAACATTCGGGTTCCATAAAATTCTGGGAAATTCTTGAGTAGTTGCAGAATTGGCGGCTCCTCAAGGACTTAACTCCATGAGTATTATTTTTTTTTATTGCTAGTGGGGTGAGACTAAGTCCCTTGTACTGCTGCCACTTCTGGCCTATTGTACCAGCCCCAGATGATAGGTGAGGGTGATTGTGGAGCAGTTGGTGGAATGAAGATTGGCAGAGGAAACATGCCCCAGCGCCTCTTTGTCCACCACAAATCAAACTTGACCATATCCGGGATCGAACCCGAGCCGACGCGGTGGGAAGCCAGCGAGTAACCGCTTGAGCTATGGCGCGACCAAGTAAAGAGATTAGTAATAAATAAATACTGTCTTCACCTCACAGGAGGTTTACGGCTGGAATGAACATACCCATGTAGTTTTATTTTGCATTAATTTCTTTTCCAGTCATGTGCACAGTAGTCCTAATTGTGTATTTCACCATCCTAATAATATCGGGGCCGGTTACGGTAGCCGAGCGGTCTAAGGCATGCACTGTCTTCGCTCGCTTGGAAACCGGGATCGCGGGTTCGAATCCCACTCAGGGCATGTTTGTTTTGTTTATCTACAGGTAGAGGCCTTGCGACGAGCTGATCACCTGCCCAAGGAGTCCTACCGAATGTGTAACATCTAGAAAAACCGAAGTGAAACGGAGAGTTTCATGGAGGTAGGCCTAGGCCCACTGGGGCTGTAGTGCCAAGGAAAAGAAAATAATGCCGGATGATGTGTATAAATCGCGGCATTCCGCGGTATCATGAACAGCTCAGTGACTTCCTCCTTTTTAGGTCCAGATCTTTTACTGAACAATTTGTTTTCGAATATTTTCTGAGGAGCAGTGGGTCTATAACGGTGTTCACTCAACCTCGTGAGGATAATGGAGGAATTCTTTAAGGAAACAGCGGCTCCGGTCTGGGAAACCGAAATTAACGGCCATGGTGATTCGTTGCGCTGACCACGCGACACCCTCTACCTGCTAAAGTTGGCACTAACTTCGACGACAAGCGGCGGTCGCTCTGTCGGTATAGTTCGCTTGCGGACTAAAACCACGGAGTTTGTTTTATATATGATTTTCATTTCGTCAAGGTAGAAAATGGAAGCAGTAAATCCGTTCATATCGTTAAACGCCTACCAGACCAGAAGACCACGACAGGAGTAATGCCTCTGCTTCTGAAGGGGCTGCCCCTTTTTTAACAATAATGTTCGCACTGTAATTGCGCCATTTCGTGTGGCAAATTGTTTGCTTTTACATGGTTCAGCGACTCTTCTTTGCCGTGCGCAGGATATTAGAAAGTTCTTGTTGATGTCCAGTTGAATTGAGTAGAGATGTAGTATGATTGCCATGCAACAGGCTCTTGTTTTGGAGGGGCCATGTTCGCTTGCTTCCCAACCAAACGGGAAGTTTGTATCGTACATCTGAACTGATGAACTGTTGCAGGTTCCACAGGGTGTTAAGAACGTTACGAATTGGATTCATTCTATGTCTTCGTCGAGGCACACTTTAACATAGTTGGTTGAGGCACTATGCTACAAGCCGGAAGGTCGCGGGTTCAGGTCCCGATGAGGTCATTGGATTTTTTTCAGTTGACTTAATCCTTCCAGACGCACTAGGCCCTGTGGTCGACTCAGCCTCTAGCAGAAATGAGTACCAGGAATATTCTTATAATATTCTCGGGGGTAAAGGGCGGCCGGCGCGTAAGGCTGACTACCTTGCCATCTATGAGCCGATAAGCCGATTGTCTAGAAAATGTGGGAACATCAACATCTCTCAAGCCTATGGGTCTTCAAGGCCTGCTACAGGGATAGCTTTACTTACTTTACTGTCTTCACAACCTTTATTGGCTTTAAAGTTGGTTCTAGAAAAAAAGAGAGAGGAAGAGGATGAAAGACAAAAGAAAGTGAAAACAAGGGGTGAAAGAAAGAAATGAAGACAGGAAAAAGCGTGTAGGAAACGTCAGAAAGAGAATGTCGGAGGGTAAGAATGACAGTAAAGAAAAAAGCCATTAATGAATGAAGGAAACAGACACAATTTTCGCAAAGGTTTCTTGACTCCTATTCTGAAAGGCAGTTACCAGTCTGCTCGTAGGCCTTGACAGAAAGTGCACATTATACGAACAAATACGAGCACCGCAAGCCGGATTCTCACCCGTCGCGCCTGGCGTATAGGCAGCATCTTAAAACTGTCAAGTGTTTCCTTTGTTTTAAATAGAACGCTGCTCTGCAGCGAGAGTTTCAGGTTGTCTTACAAATGAACACAGGTCTACCTCGGATATACGTCTGGGGATATTTGTCGGCTTCCTCAGACCCTCGATAATAAATCGATCACGTCACGACCATTTTGTTCCAAATTATTTCCAATTCGAATTTATGTCGTCAGAGATACTGATAACATCATAAAATAAACCACAGAAATAGTACAGTCTGCATATTTATTACTTCACAGCCCCTGTCAGGTGAAATTTTATAGGCCAGCAGGTCGAATAAGCTTCCTCTGGATCACGTCTTCTGACGAATGTAAGGCCAGCCTTTCTCCGTGGATGGCTCCATAATGGAGTTACCTATATAGAACTGTTGAAAGTAACTGCGGGACACGTACCTAATTTCCTGTCGAATTAAGTGTGTCGCACGTAACTTCGCCACGATCTGTATTTGTTTCGACGACTTCCCTCACATTTAGGCTTGTGTGCTGCATAGGAGCCCTTTCTGTGGTTAACAATTATACTCACACCTTAACTTAGTCTGTATCTGCTCAGCTGATCGAGAAAGCCCCAGACGTTTTGGAAACATTAATTTTTCTGCGGTATTCACTGAATATCTCTTCTGTGGTCTAGTGGTCAGAGTTCGATTCCCGGCGCTGCTTTTTTCTTTTTCTGAGAAGTATTGGGTCTGGAACGGGGTCCACTCAGCCTCGTGATGATAATTGAGGAGCTATTTCGAGGAAATAGCGGCTCCAGTCTAGAAAACCGAAGTTAACGGCCGCGGGGATCCGTTGCGCTGACCACGCGACATCCTCTATCCGCAAAAGTTGGCACTAATTACGCCGACAAGCGGCGGTCGCTCGGTCGGTATTGTTCGCTTGAGGACTAAAATCACGGAGTTGTTTATTCACTGAAGCCCGAGAGTGGACCGAGCCGTGATCAGTTAAATACAGTCCTCACTTTCACACTTCATTCCCCCAGGCTCACGTTTAATGTTGCCCTTCCTCCTTCCCCTCCATATAGTGTAAAGCCTGATTGTGGGACCTGTCAGTGGGGGCAATTACAAGAGACCGGCTCCCACTCTTTCACTTATGGTAGGTCTGTAAGAAGAGCGCACAGGACTCATACTGCCCAGGGGCGTTCGCGCATTCGCACTCTTCTCCCCAGTGTAACTCATAAAGTAACGCCTTTGTCTGCAGCTGATGGGTGAGGTTAAATTCATTCCCAATTACAAAAGACAAGCCCGTCCAATGTGACTATTTCAGTTTTTTCACTTGATGATTCACTAGCCTTACACGTTTCGATCCATTTGGATCATCTTCAGAGGCACCAAACACTTTTTAGAAACCGCTAACACAACAGTTGTCATATCAGTTACACGTGTATTGCCAAGTACACAATGTTCCATCTATCACTCACAGCAGCCCTTCTGGTTATAGAAATATTTAAAGTTGTTTTAAAGTTTTAAAAACTTTGTTAAAAATTAAAATACATAAACCATACGGTTCGTGTCAATAACCCCTGTTGCCTCTCTTCAAGGTGGCGATGTTGTGCCGCTTATGTAACTTAGGTAAGGAGATTCTTAACATTGTCCATTGCGATTTCTTGGCCCGCTGTGCTGTATCACATTGGACGGACTTGTCTTTTGTAATTGTAACTGTTAGTGTGACGGACCAAAATGAGACAAATTAAATTCATTCGTTATAAAGTAAGAGTATGTGTTTCAAGACTGGCTTAATTTAGCGAACTTCATAGAGCAGAGTTTTCTTGAGAAGTTAATAATCGCTCAGCTGGCTAAGGAATTTGCCGCCTTTAATGGAATCCTGTGTTTTATTATTGTGTGTCTAGTACCTTCGTACCATACATTCTCAGACCTGGTCTTAATATTATTCACTCATCTATCCCTAGATCCTTCAAGTTTTCCTACAAAAAATTTGTATGCATTTATAATCTTTCCCATGCATGTTACATACCCTGCACATCTTATCGCCCATTTATTTGATCCGAATAATATTTGTTGAGTACACATTATGAAGCCTCATGGTATGTAATTTTCACCAATGTCCCGATACGTCCTCTTTAAAAATATCTTACTTCAATTGTGTTGAGGTTACTCGCTTGTGTTACTTTCTGTGAACATTCAGTTTGCATGTTTCTCTTTACATTCTTTTCTTTTGTTTTTAGATTCAGGAAGTTCTAGATTCTTGGGATCCGGAAAGTTCCACAGTCGGTAAGTAGACTGAATTTGATATTAAATGTAAACCATCCCTGAACAGGAGACCATCAAATAATGATTTATATTCAGTGATATTAAAATATTATATTTAAGATAATGTGGGCGTTAGACAGACGTAAGAAAGCGGAGTGAAAGCAGCAGAGATGCAATTGTCAGGGAGAATTGCTCTATACATGCGCAGAGTGACGAAATTCGCGCACAAGCAGTCCATTTTTTTTTATTGCTAGTGGAGTGGGACTAAGTCCCTTTTACTGCGGCCACTTCTGGCCTATTGTACCACCCCCGATGATAGGTGAGGGTGATTGTGGAGCAGTTGGTGGAATGAAGATTGGCAGGGAAAACCGAATTACTCGGAGAAATCCTGCCCCAGCTCCACTTTGTCCATCACAAATCCCACTTGACCAGACTCGGGATCGAACCCGGGCTTTCACTGTCCATATTAATGTGTGATGCTGGATCTTACCCTCAGCTTCCACTTCGTCGTTTAGATTTATTTTTGCTCTGTTATTGAATTTGTTTGGCTGTCTCAGCTCTCAGAACTAAGTTCCCTCTTCGTTGCTCGTATTTCTACAGCAGTTTGAACTCTGCGACGTCTTCAGAAGAGAAAACTGCAATTTAAATCACAGTGCGTAGTGCTTCTTTAACATTAAATATCTGCATTTCATATGATTCTCTTAGTAATTGCGGGGACGCGGTAGCGTAGTTGGTTGATGCACTATGCTACAAGCCGGAAGGTCGCGGGTTTGAGTTCCGATGAGATGGATTTGTTTTTCAATTGACCTAATCCTTCCAGCCGCACTATGGCCCTGTGGTCGACTCAGCCTCTAACGGAAATGAGTACCAGGAATCTTCCTGGGGAGTGAAGGGCGGCCGGCGCGTAAGGCTGACAACCTTATTGCCATCTGTGAGCCGATTGTCTAGACAAAATATGGGAGCCTCGACATCTCGCAACCCTATGGGTCTTCACGACCTGTTACAGGGATAGCTTTACATTTTACCTTTTACCTCACAGTAATCAGCGATTGTTTCCCAAAACGGCGTTACAGGCTGTTCTTTCTGACCGTGACGCGGTGTTTGTCTGAGAATTTCATACGTATTTAGACGATCATCGAGTTTAAAATGATTCATTTTTTGTATTAAGCGAATGTATTTTGTCTAAGGCCATAAATTATACTTCAGGCAGGTCTGCCACTCTTCACATGACTTAAATTTACCTCCCATGTCGGTACATTACGATAAAGAGAAATGCTGTTACAGCTGCATCTGTATCCTCCTGGTAAACAATATTGTCGCGTGTTTGCTAGATAACGCGAAAATAATTCACGTGGGCTTCCGGATTTGAGCGAATATTTACCGGACACGCTCTTGTACAGTCACAAGTACAATTAGTATGACTTCTAACGTCCTCTAGACGTTTCTTATTCACTATTATAATTACTTGTACCGCCAGCCTCGGTCAAGTGTCTTCGTCCCTTATCGAAGAACTCTTCTTGCTAGAGTCGAATACAAACCCAGTAAAAACTGTAAACTGCCTGGTCCAAGTCCAGGTCACACTGCGACTGACGGCCCGTCAGTCAGTAAGTCTTTACTGTTTCACACTTACGGTCTTGTTTTTGTGGGTCGTCCTCTCTAACGAGAGGACAGGTCTGTCTTTTGTATATGCTGCTGGCCTTTGTCAGCACAGTCTTTCTCGGGTCCGAGTCCCGTGTGAGATGTGGGCAGAGTCAGAGTTACTTTACGACTGGCGATTTACTGCCAATTAGTTCGTCTTGGCATTAGACCCCTTGAGGCCAACGACCAGAGATTTTTTTTTCCAACTGAACTCTTGCGGTAAGAGTCCTTATGTAACATCCTCTCTGATGTGGTCCCTTCGAATTTGGACTTCTGTAACCTGGTCTCGGACGGAATATAGCGCACCATATTGAAGCCTTTGGTCTCTGCCTCTTGTCATGCAACGAACCCGCTTTGTCCTTTCATCTTTGGGGAAACGCGTTTGTTGCTTAAAGTATTCCTACACAACGATCTGTTGGTATTCAATTCGTCGCTGTGGGAACTCAACAATTTCCATGTATTCGTTGTCGCTGAAGTATGTGTTCCCATTGCAGCCGTTGCGCAGCGATGGACGTCATATAGCACGTCACATTATATAGGCCTACATTCATATGGATTATTTTGTAAATTTAAATTTGTTTTATTATACTTCACTGTTCCATTCATTATTAGACGAGGGCACGTGAGGTCTAGCCTTCAGGAATCGCTCCAGGCTCCTCAGATTGGGTTATGAATTGGTCTAAAGTCACGCATATCGGAACGCTGAACAAGAAATGCCGACCGCCGAACTCCTCCGTTGCTAGGGAAGGGGATTCGATTTCCGGTGGCTGCAAGATTTTTATCTTCGACACGACGTCCAAACCGACTGGGTGGACCCCGGCTTCGTGTCAAATTGACATCCGAGGAAGGAAAGGCGGTCGACTGTGAAGCTGGCTCATGAGTTCTGTGTATTGGAGAGCTTAAGAACGTGAAGACGTGTAGTCACCTCTTGCAGCCCATATACGCGGAGGGACAACTTTGCCAATATTTTGTTGCATCCTGTTGTGTAAATTACTATCGATGGTACTTATATTGCCCTCACCACAACACTGTTTCCATCATGTTTCGACACATGTGTGACATCTTCAGGTCAGGAGTTTAGTTACAGTTCTATAATGGATTTAGACTAAATTTCCCATGTAAACCGAGTGAATCCAACGGTTAAAGCTGTGTGCTGTATATTATATATTATAATGCGTTCATTTTTGTCTGTTCATTAGCTACAACTTCATAAAATAACTACAGGGTTAACGAAGAGGGAAAATCCCAACCCAATGTGGTTCATAATGTACTATAAAGTCTGTAGTATAGTGTATATATTACCGGTGTACCCAGTCGGGTGAAGTCAAAATCTATGCTAGTTTAGTTTAGTTTAGTTTAGTTTAGTTTAAGTTTTTTGGGGTGGCGTGAGACTGAGTCCATTTGCTACGTCGGCCACTAACTGGCCTGTTGTACCAGTCCCGAATGATAGATGATGATGATGAATGTGGAGCAGTCGGTAGAATGAGAATTGGCAGGGTAAACCGAATTACTCGGAAAAAACCTGCCCTAGTGCCACTTTGTCCACCACAAATTCAACGTGACCTGACCTGGGCTCGAACCCAGGCCGCAATGGTGGGAAGGCAGCGACAAATCGCCTGAGCTATAGCACAGCCACAAACTATGCCAAGTAGATGATAACAACAGTACAGTTGTCCTTGTGCCTAACTAATTAAGCACTATGCCATGAAGGCGTATAGGGGGAGTGGATTTATAAACCAAATTTTCTTGACCACGGCACTGGCTTCACGCCCCGGCCGCTTTACCCCCGTGGAAAGATCCCCCGGTACCTATTGGATAGGAGGTTGGGTTGACCCCAGAGTCGGTCTGGAAGACGTGGAGAAGAGAAAATACCTTGACCCTACGGGACTCGAAATCCGCCCCCCCCCCCGGTCATCCAGCCCCCAGCCAATCGCTATACCGACTACACTATCCCGGCTCCTGTTAACTGAATTCCGGACGTGAAGATGGCACACATGTGTCGAAACAGTTGCCCTAGACAGCAAACTCCGCTTGATGGAAACAGTGTTGTGTTGACAGGAATATAATAAATATTATCTGTAGACAGTCTTAATTTTACGAGGAATCTTTAACGTTTAGTTTAGTCGATAGAGCGACTGCAATAACATAAAGAACTCCGGTCTGTAGTCCCCAAGCGAACTATACCGACCGAGCGACCGCCGGTTGTCGGCGAAGTTAGTAACAAATTTAGCGGATAGAGGGTGTCTCATGGTCAGCTCAACGGATCCCCACGGTCGTTAATGTCGGTTATGTAGACCGGAGCCGCTCTTTCCTTTAAATACCTCCTCAGTTATCCTCACGAGACAGAGTTCACCTCATTCGAGACCCACTACTTCTTGGAAAATCTGGTAGCGCCGGGAATCGGACCCGGGACCTCTGGATCTGTAGGCAGGAACTCTGACCACTAGACCACAGAGGCGGTACATAGTACATATATCGTTAGACAGTATTACTTAACATGATGAATGCGTAGAAAATGTTGGTCCGAAGACCAGAATGGATCCTAATGAGGTAGCACGAGAGCATCTGGACTGGACTGGTTCTGAGTAGGGTACTTGTGAGTATGGTTATGTAACTTCGGTTTCCATAAACAAACTGGACATTTGTTAAGTAGCTGACCGACTGTTAGCTTCTCAAAACGGGATCTGCTCCATTAAGTTAAATTAAAATTAAATTTAAATTCGCTTAGTGGGGGGTGGAGTCCAACTGGGTTCACTCGGCACGGCGGCCACTGATTGGCCTATTGTAGCCTGCCCCGGGTGATTATGATAATGGAGAATTTGGTGGAATTAAGATTGGCGGGGAATCCCACTTGACCAGACCCGGGCTCGAACCCGGGCCGCCGCGGTTGGAAGCCAGCTTGAGCTATGGCGCGGCCTCTCCATTAAATTAGTTATTATGTATAATTTTTCATTATTATTGCGTTCATGTCTGTTGGGGTTCCCGTGTGGTCGTTACTCAGCCATTGCTTAGTAACGGCCATTTTCAGAGCCATTACTTAGCAATGTCTGTTGTCTAGTTGCTTAGTTCTCGGTCGTTTCCTAGTAGCGGGTCTACATTCCACGTTATTGTCACGTATTCGCGGTTGGCGTGACTAATAAGGATGGGTTCTGGATTTAATGCTTGGGTTTATATCCATTTCTTTTATAATTAGAGTCAGTTGTAACAGCTCACACATTGAACTTCTGAACAACGCCAGTCTGACGAACCTCTGTGAAGAAACTGTGATTAATCTTTCACCGCCTTGAAGGCACCAACTGCCACGCTGCCCGAATATAAGTCACCATGTCGAATAGTTAATTGTCCTCAGGTATTCTGTTTGTTGTCACGGGAATCTTGTGTGT